TATATATATATATATATATATATATATATATATAATATTATATATATTTGAGAAAACTAAAATTTATATAACTGTAAAAAAATGGCAAAGTATAAATTTATTTTTATATATATTTAAGAAAACTAAAATTCATATACCGATAAAAAAAATGGCGAATTTATTTTTGAATTTATAGAACTTTTTTTATATTAAAAAATTTTATAATATTAAAATTAAATAAATTAAAATAAAATAAAAAATAAGTAAATAAAATATCGGATAAATACATTGAGAGAGATATGATAATATTTATAAAATTTAACGGCCCATAAATATATAATACTAAACGTAAGTAAAAAAAAAAAAAATAGAAGTAAAACACGTCAAGCTCTGGCTTAAGTTCAATATTAAATACTATTACTACTTCTATTGGTATGTATGTATATACAGTAATCTATAAAATAGCTCGTACAATCAGTAGACACACAATTTTGTTTTTATTGACTCAAGTTTTAAAGCTTAAATGCGCTTTAAAGTTTTAAATCTTGCACAGCTAAAACTTAAAGAAAAATCTCTACGAAACAGTTAAAAAGAATTCATAAGCTTCAACTAAGAAAAGCAAAATAATAAAACATAATTTAAGCTCAGTTCAAAACTTGATAAATTGGCAGCAACGCTAATTAAATTAAAGCTCAAACTTCAGCTCGTATCATTAGGAGCAAATGCTAGCCTTTATTGCCTTGACTTTAATTGGAACTGCAAGCGGCCCAATAAACTTGAATGGCGCGCTAATAACTGTGCAACACTTTTTGTGGGCCAACAATTCAGCTCAGCTGGAAATATAATGGGAGAGTGGAGTGGAGAGAGGCGAGTGGGCGTGGCAGTGGCAGTGGGAGTAGTGAATGTAGGTGGAATAACAGATGATAATGAGGCAGAGCATTTGACTCTAGTGCAGGGCTGGGCTAGCCGATGTCCTTCCTGTCTTCAGCTGCTCCCAGTGGACGCTGGACACGGGACATGGAACATGTGGTACACAGTGCATGCAAATAGTGTGTGCACATTTGACCACTTAGCATATTTGCAGCCATTTGCCGTTGGGGCAACAGTTGTGTGAGTGCCGTTGTGTCTGCGGGTGTTTGTGTGTGTGTGTGTGTGTTTGTGTGTGTGTGTTACTTTGTTGGCCACAGTGAGGCATGCCACGGGGAGACTTTTAATTGAACTTTTGCAACAACACCGCGGGGATCAATTGAGATTTATTGGCAGTACGTGTCGCATTGCCTTGGCCATGTATTGCTCGGGGAGCTCGCATGCTGGCTCGCATGCTGGCTCGAATGCTGGTTTGGTTTTGGCGACTGTGGCCTGGGCAAATTACGTGACGTAAGCAAGCAATTAATGTTTTATTTAATTTACACAGCGCACACAAGTTGCGACTGCGACTGAGAGTTGGAAAACTCGTTAAGAACCACACGCTCACACACACACACACACACACTCGCACACACACACACACGCCCACAGATTCACTCTCGAGTTGCCTATAAACTTTTACTTGCAAATTTTCTAATGTCATTTGCAATTCAATGCGAATATGGCCTAATTAGGCTAACGGCAGAGCTGGCCCCACAATTCGTACTATTCAATTTGGCCAAGACAGTTATTTAACTGGCAGTTGATTAAATTCCCTTCACACAACTTTAATCACTGTTCGAGCATCCTTAATGACTTAATGGCTGGCGAGGGGGCGTGGCATGTTTGCTTGTCGCAACAAATCATTTTTGCCGCATCATTGGCAATGCAATTAACTATGGCAGTGTCTTGGGTAATTTGAGATTCCCGCCAAGCAACTGACCATTGGATGTTTTATTTTCCTTATTTACTAGAGTTTTTTTTTCCTTTTTTTTGGGGGGGTTTTGTCTTTTTAATGGATTTGTATGACTGTGCGTGAAATTTCATTAAAACTCGATAATTGCATGACACGACAGGATTCTTGCTGCCTTGCTGCATGCAACTTTTGCTTAGCTCGCAGACGAAACGCCACCGCTCCCGCCCCTTTTTCGACTCCGCCCCCCATTTTCAGTTTTGTCTTTGCTCTTCGGTCTGCAATTGATTTAATTATACGATTGCTGTGCATTGCAAGTGATTCGAGGCTAAAAGCTATTCCGATTCGATTTCCAAATGCCAAAAGCAATCTATTTTGGCTTGCCACGCCCACGCTCTAAGCTCAGCCAGCGTAATTACATTGCAAAAGGCACTAATCATTGTGTGCTTTTATCGTTGCGCCACTTGAAGTGAAAATCTATAACGGAATTGCCTTGAGATGGTTTAGAATAAGGCTTAAAAGGATGAAGAATGTTGGCTTTGATTAAAGATTAAAGATTTATGAATGCATTAGTAGTTGTAATAGATTAGATATGTGCATCTAATAGATCATAGATCATAGAATCATAGAATCATAGATCATAGAATCATAGAATCATAGAATCATAGAATCATAGAATCATTGAATCATAGAATCATTGAATCATAGAATCATAGAATCATAGAATCATAGAATCATAGAATCATAGAATCATAGAAT